TGTCTGTTTATTCTTAAATAAATGTTTTTTGAATTGTAGATGCAGCGACAGCATAGATGGGGGGCTAGGCGCCATACACATTTATAAACTTTGAAACTCACTTGTAGTGAATATTGTCAAAAATTAGAGTTTTTAGGTTTATCTGCAATCGAATTGATAATCGCTAAATAACCAGTTATGTATGACTAGGGCGAATTCTTACGAGATATTGCATCGTAAGCTGGAAATGGGGTTGTTGAAGAAGTACGTTTTTTAACTCTAATAGGGATTCAAAGTTTCCCATGCATTATATTTTGAAAAAGAAACCTTTGAAAAGTGTCTGGTTTATCCACCTTTTTCGATTCTACATAGTTTAAAAAAACCACAAAAAAATTGAGAAATCCAAAAAAAGGTCAACTAACAGCTTGAATTTTGAAACGGTAATGCTATAGTCTGTATATTCAAAGCCATATCTACTTCTCACTAGGACCTTACTGAAGGATTACAGTAGATACGTTACAAGGGAAAACACCATCATTTTCTTTGGAAAGTTGTCTACGGGGGTTGATCGTGAAAATCGAATCCATATCTATTAGGCCCGCAAGATTAGCGTAGTGATGGGATAGTACCAACGATCTGCTTGAGAAGCGAAAACGCTTTGCCATAGGGCATAGATATGAATTCCATCATCAATCTGGCAATCACCTTTTGTAGTTCATCTTTCTAAATTGGTTCTTACCTCTACTGCGCATATCTACAATAATCCTGCAGGGAGGACCTATTGTGATTACGTTTTTCATAATCAGCATAGTCATTTTCCTGAGTGTTATGGCATTTTCGAGCTTCTCAATCAACAGATTTACCTGTCGGTTAAATCTCTTTACCCTTCTGTATCAATTTCAGTCACTTCTTTTTTCACAATACCGAAATCATTAGATAAGCCAGGTGCAACATCTCCCAAAGAAAAGCATCTTCTGTCAAATGATATAAAATGTGTTGTCTTTTGTTTTTTTTATTTCTTTTATTTAAAAAAGTCGCGAACTTACACAAAACTCGATAAAGTTCTAATCTCGAGA